AGGTCCTCCTCCAGACCCAGCAAAGAAGATCAAGTTGAACTCTGATTTGGTCCTTTTATGACTTGCGGACTTCAACTCCCAGAATTCCTCAGCCAGGCACGCTGGCTGAGGAATTCTGGGAGTTGAAGTCCACAAGTCATAAAAGGGCCAAGTTTGAAGACCCCTGCTAAAAGGAAGAGTACTGTTTCTATGGTGGACCTCATTGATGGGATTCCTTCCTTAGAGAAACCTGACCAGCGCCCACATTAGCATCATTCTGACACCAGTTTTTTTTAAATTTTATTGCTCTTTTAGACTGAATGTAATTATACTTCAATTCATATGGTTTTAATTTTGAACCATCTTTTTATAGCTGCCAATTTATATGATGATCTTATTTTGCATTTTATTTGGTTTTATTGCACATGGTTTTACTGAAATTGTATTTTTAGAGTGTTTTGTTTATTGTAAATCACCCAGGGACCTGCAGCTGTTGAGTGATTTTAAAATGTAAATAAATACTTTCGTGCTTGCTGGAGGAAGAGCTAAACAAAGCCTGTTCTCATAAAGCAATTTAGCATAGTCAATATCTGAGGGGTCTTTGGTGCTCTCTGAGCTTGGTTGTTTTCTTGCAGAGGTTTTATTTTCCAAACTAGATAACATCATCCCTGTTAGTAGCCCTGCTAGAAATACAAGCTCTGTAGCAACACTTGCATTGATGATGTTACTTAGTTTGGATAATGAAACCTCTGCAAGAAAACAACCAAGCTCAGAGAGCACCAAGGACTCCTCATTTCAACCCTGAGCTACAGATATTTTCCTTTATTGGTAGTCAATGTCTATGTTATTCTTCCATGAAGAAAGAAAGTGGTTAATAAGAATTAAGAATGACAAGAGAGAGCCCCTAGTACAGGGGTCTTCAAACTTGGCCCTTTTATGACTTGTGGACTTCAGCTCCCAAAATTTCTCAGCCAGTGTGCCTGGCTTTAGGAATTCTGGGAGTTGAAGTCCACAAGTCATAAAAGGGCCATGTGTGAAGACCCCTGCCCTAATGCAATTTAATTTTAACTTGCAACTGAAGTGGGATATTCTCAAATTAGAAAAGACACAAGAAGATGAAACACACAGCAGGGAATGTGAAATATGGTTGTTATAAATTTAGTCTAGATTCCTTCAAGGGCCGATAAGTTGTACCTGCAATAACTTTCATTGGGAAGCAAAAGGCTCAATATGTTGTCCTTAAGAGCTTTACTGCTTCAGGGACAAAATTATTGCTGCTTCAAGCTAGCAAATTGAATGGTTGTGTTGGGTATTTTTGGGGTGCAACCAATTAAAGCTCTTGTTGGTTCTCTAGTAGGGAAAAAATTGAAGACTCTTCCAAATCCTTTATTTGTTCTGTGCTTATAATATCCAATTTTCAATTATGCTTGGGTTTACTACATTTCTCAGTAAATACAATTATTTTAGTTCTGACAAAATTAAAGCATTTGTCATTGCAGATTCTTAGCTGCAATAAGCTGCTAGCAGTTGAAAAATTAACTTTAGGCCTATCAGGTGGGAGATAAAATAAATGTATGGTCAGTGTATAAAACGAAGGATGTGGTTTTTCTTGCCAAGGACACTGCAGCTCATTTTTTTTTCTTTTACAGAGTTTATGTGATGAAATAAATATGGACTTAATAAAGTAATGATAATTAATAAGACTTAATGTGATAACAAGGAAGTAAATATATATTCCTGGATTGGAAAGCCTTCAGGAGTAGCACACTAGGTCTAAAATGGAGGTCTTTTCATGTAGTATAATAATCAAAGCAATTTATGGTAGATTCTGTGCCTCAGATCATAGACAGGCACACAAATAAGGTCAAAGTGGCCAAGATCGGACACCTCTGCCTTACAGTCTTCCATTCGTGGCTCTGATTGAAATTGGACTCTTAGCTTGAGGGAAGAATTTGTTTACTGATCAATTACAAAAGTCACTTTAAGCAGTTTACACATTAGGATTAAAGTAATAGTACCATGCTAATAAGAATAATGGTAACCAAACAGCAATAGTCAGTCAGGTGCATCAAGGGGAAGAAATACACAACAATCAAATACTTAAATGCACAATTACCCCAGTCTGCCTTCTGGCCATCTGAAAGAGGTAGATTTTGCAGTTTTGCAAAAGTGGAAGAGGATTGGGTCCTCGGAGGGAATGTTATTCCATCTTTATTTCTGAAGAATATCTTGTTCGAAGAGGATCATAAGCCTCCAATTCCAAATAATTGACAAGTGAAGCAAAGTGAAAGTGCAACGGTGCTTATGATGTTATATTTCAGCTTCCTTTTACGAAGGTCATAAATTTGACAATTGATCACAAAGTTACTTTTTCCATCACTATTGTAACTGCAAACACTTGCTAAAAAAGGCAGTTGTTAAACAAGGATTACCTGTGCGTCTTCCACTGCTTGAGCTATCTTCCTCAGTTAGGGATACAAAGTTCCTATTTTTTCCTCTCTTCCCAGAAGAGTCTTGTAGTCTTTTTTCACACCCAACGCAATACTCTACATGCGATACCTGTTAGTGTCCCTGAAGGTCCTATTATCATACAGAGCCATGGAGAAACTAGGCAGCGCCAAAAGCTATAAAAACAGACTTTAAGCCCAGGAAACAGAGAGAAAACACAAGAAAACAGCTCAGATTGATTCCATCTTCATTCTGTAGAATATACAAGAGAAGGAAGGGAAAATGCAATCAAGATTCTGTTCCTATAGCTTGCTTGATTGCCTCCCCCCCTCTGGCTTACAAAGTTACAGTAGAAGCAATACAGCTGTACAGATAAATATGTATCTAAATAAATAAAATACAGGTAGCTCTTGCATTATGATGGAAATTGGGACCGGGATCGGTGTTGCTAAGCGATGCCATCATAAAACCTGATGTCATGTGATCAAGGTACTTAGTGATGGCAATCTTAAGAGTTCCTAGCAGTTGTAATCCCAGAACCACACACCTTATTAACCAGGACGAGGCAGGAGTCCCAGGCGGAGGGTGTATGGGTACTTATTGGGGGGTACACAGGTGTGTGCTAGGAAGCATGCGTGAGCCAGTGAGGGTAAAGGGGGTGCTGTGGATAGGTGTGTGCTCAGAGTTGTACTCCATAGCAGGACTCCTCAGGGAAAAAATGGCGGGAATGACTGATAGGAGTGACTTGCAAGTTTTTCTGGCACTTTCCCCCAGTGACTGCTTGTGGGATGCTGCCAGGGAAGGCTGCAAATGGTGTCTGTGGGATACTTCAATCCTGCCCAAATATGACTTCAGGGGTATTTCTTCAGCGGTAACTGTGAGAATTAATCATAAGTATCTCTCATTCAGTGCTGTTGTAAACAGTTGCTGAATGAATAGCTGTAACTCGAAGATTATAGCGTTACAGTCAGCTGTGTGGTTTATTGTGTTACCTGGCATCTCTCAAGGTTGAATGAATCTAGCTTTTGCAACGACATATTCGTGGTTGAATCAGTGAGGTCCAAAGTGTTTCCTTGTGCCTTATCAGCAGAACTAGCCATTTTCTGAAGGTTGATAGCATTTCCTATATGCCCTCCATATTTTGAACAGGCTCTTTAAGTTGGGAGACCACTTAAACCAACTTGGCAGCAGGGACATGCTTGAGGATGACCTTCTGGAACTGGTGGCCAAGCCAAATTCAAAATTGATCATAGCTGATAATCTTAATGCCAGACATACTCCCACTGATGAAAACTCTCTAATCCCATTATGATATAATTTGCACTTCTTAATCTACAAACCATGGTACCTAGGGCTGCTGCATCATTCAAATAAAAAGGTAATTAAATATGGAAAGTGAAGATTGGTCCACCTGACTATGAAATTTGATTTCTTGGATTAGTTGCTCTGGATATTGAAGAGAAATTAATCTGGGGTGGCAGAGGTGACAATATTATTGGTTACATGTAAATATCTCCTGATTTAGTATGCAGAATATTAGATGCTAAGGTCAGTTCTTCCTTGGATAATAATTATTGCCGTTTTATTGTTATAATTGCTTATAAAGTATCAGTTTTCAGATTTACACACCCAGAAGACTATCCGACTCAAGGTCCCTCAGATAAGACGGCCCAGACAGAGCTTTTCCATATGTATCATTTTTCTCTCTCTTTGGTTTCATTTGTTCCTTCATGCACTTTATCATTAACCCTTCTTCCAATATATGACCTAATCTTCCAAAAGCCATAGGTCATAATTATATGGGGTCATAGATGTTGACTTTTGGTACTTCCATTGCTCTGGCCAATAATGGCATCCATCTAATCTGTGTCACATACATTATCCCCTACTAAAGACAAGTGTAGCTAGTGGCCAGTGTTAACAAATTTGGTCAGCATGCTAAAAATGCACCCTATGCCTAGGTTTACTCCCAGCATACTCAGAACATGTTATTTTAAGCAAGCTAGGAACTGGGATCTAGGGATTACCTTGCAAGCTAAGAAATCCATTTTTGCAGCATCCTGAGAGAAACCAAGGAGGCTTTTTTCAATAAGCCAAGACACATAAAAGGCGACAATATGGAAACAACCAAATATTGAAGAGTTTTCAAATGTTATTTTATTAGCTGAAAGTACTGTTAAGAGTGAAATGCAAGAAGGTAGAGCACACATTGTAGTTGTGAAACAAGATGATTTCAGTTAGTTTTGGGCCCGTTTATCTATTTTACCATGGAAGGAATAAATAAAGTAATGACCAAATTGGCTCTAAATTACAGGGATTTAGCTGTAATGGTAAGTTGTAAATCAATTGGTATAACTCTGTATAGATCAGCGGTGTCAAACTCGCAACGTCACGTGACATGTCGTGACATATCACGACTTTTTTTCCATTACCGGCAATGGGATAGGCGAGGTTTTGCCATGATGCATCCAGCCCGTGGGCTGGCAGTTTGATACCTCTGGTATAGATGGTCTGCCTTTGACAATTTATTATGGGCATTTGAATGACACCTCACTTATATTTTTATTTTGCAGGTGAAGCTTTAAAGATAACAGCAAAAACATTCACTGATGATCCCTGTAACTTATCTAAAAGAGAGGCTGTTGTGCAAATAGCACGTGATCTCCTGACTGCTGTTACAAGACTTCTTATTCTGGCAGATATGATTGATGTTTCATACCTGCTGCAACATCTCACCACAGTGAGTAGCAAGCATGATCAGCAAATGGACTATATTTCACGTTTCTTATTTTCTATAACAATAACAGATAGATAGATAGCCTTTTTTTTTTTTTACTGTGGGCACAATGGATCACATTAAAAATAAAATTTAGTTGCTTGCTCTCAAAGTGTACACATACATAACACACATTTAAACATACTATATACAACATATATATAGACCTACACCCTTACATATAAGTTACATATAAATATTAATCACTGTCCATCTTGAATACATAATGGAAGGAGGAAGCTTTAGAATTCACAAGATTGATACTGTATGGAATAAAACTATGCCTGAATCTGGATGTTCTGCTTCAGATACCACGAAGCCCCGTCCTCCCAGAATGTAACAAGGAAAACATGTCATGAAGAGGATGTGTAGTGACCCAGATAATCTTACTGACCCTGCTCAAGCAACGCTTCTGTGCTATGTCCTGGATGGAAGGGAGGGAACTGCCAATAATCTTTTCAGCCATCTTCACCACTCTCTGCACCGCCTTCCTGTCTGAAGCAGTGGTGCTTCCAAACCAGACTGTGATACTGTATGACAGAATGCTCTCAATCGTCCCTCTGTAGAAAGTGGTAAGGATAGGAGACGGAAGATGTGCTTTTCTCATGCAACACAGAAAATGCAGGCGCTGCTGTACCCACTTCACCAGTGTCTTGCTGTTGAGTGACCAAGCTAGCCTACTCATTAGCTGCACACCCAGAAACTTTATGCTGCTAACTACCTCCACAGGTGAATCCTTAATGCACAGAGAAGTGTGGCTGTGCCTGCCTTTTCTGAAATCGACAGTGATCTCTTTGGTTTTTCCAGTGTTTAAAATTAGGCTGTTTTCCTTACACCAGTTCACTAAACCCCCAACCTCCTTGTGGTAAGCACCCTCATTATCATCATGAATAAGGTCCACTACTGTTGTATCATCTGCAAACTTCACAATATGGTTGGTGGCAAATCTAGCACTCCAGTCATGGGTCAACAGGGTGAACAGCAGCGAACTTAGGACGCAGCCCTGAGGAGAACCTGTGCTCAAGAAAATGGTGTTAGATCTCAAGTCCTTGAGAGGCATTCCTCTAGTCTTTGAGGTTTAAATCAAACTGTTCCAATCTGCCCACTGCCAGGAGTTCGATCCTGACTGGCTCAAGCCTTTCATCCTTCCAGGTTCAATAAAATGAGGGCCCAGACTGTTGGGGGCAATATGCTGACCTGTAAATGGCCCAGAGAATGTTGTAATGCACTATGAAGTGGTATATAAGTCTAAGTGCTAGTGCTATGTATGTATACAGGTACATTCCATTTTGATTTTATCTTCTGATTTTATAGCAGTGGTATTTGCATGGTGTGTGCCTGTGAAAATCAACAAGATGGTGACTGGAGCAATGCAGTGCAATCCTCACTCCTTTTGAATACATGTATTCATGTTGAAAAGGGCCAGAGTTTTCACTGTGACACTTGCTGTTTTTGCCCCCTCCTGCAGATGATCCTGTTTTGATGTTTATATTTTAATGGGCTTGATTTGTGACACAGTTGTTTTATTTGTTTATGGTTTTGTTCTTTAAATCACCCAGAGTCCCTGCATTTGGAGGTATATAAATTTGTCTATAAATTAAATTATCAAATACATAAAATAGAATAGAACAGAATAGAACAGAACAGAACAGAATAGAATAGAGCTGGAAGGGACCTTGAAGGTCTTCTAGTCCAGCCCCCTGCTCAAGCAGGAGAACCTATACCATCTCAGAGAGATGATTGTCCACTCTCTTTTTAAAAACTTCCAGCGATGGAACGCCCACGATTTCTGGAGGCAAATTCCACTGGTTGATTGTCCTCACTGTCAGGAACCTTCTCCTTAATTCCAGGTTGTTTCTCTCTTTGATCAACTTCCAACCATTGTTTCTCATCCTTCCCTCTGGTGCTCTGGTGAACAACCTGACCCCCTCTTCTTTGTGGCAGCCCCTCAGATATTGGAATACTGCTATCATGTCTCCCCTATTTCTTCTTTTCTTTAGACTGGCCAAACCCAAGTTCTGCAGCTGTTCTTCATACGTTTTGATCTCCAGATCTTTGATCATCTTAGTTGCTCTTCTCTGAATTTTTTCCAGACTCTCAACATCTTTTTTGTGATATAGTGACCAAAATTGACTGCAGTATTCCAGGTGTGGTCTTACCAGGACTTTATAAAGCGGTACTAGTACCTCGCGTGATCTTGATTCTATGCCTCTGTTTATACAACCCAGGATTGTATTAGCTTTTTTGGTTGCTGCTGCACACTTTGTGCCAGGCCAGCATTTCATAGACTGGCAGTATTGGCTATAAACACTAACAGTCCTGAATGAGTTGATTGTTCCTCAACCGCCTTTTCAAGAATAGAACGTTGTTTTCCCTTCTTTAGCAGCCGTTTGAGATGGAGATGCTGGAGATGCAGCTCATAAAAGGACCTGAGCATAGGATGGTAGTCCTATAGTAAGTGAATAGTCACCTCAGCTGCTCTTGGCTAACCAACATGAACATTTTATCTGATCACTGTAGCACTGTATTCATTCACAAAGTATATGTAGTACTGTCATGGTTCTGACTAATGAAACACTTCAAAGAACTTCCAAGCATTGTTTTATCCTAAAATCCTTTATTATCAGTGTAACAGATTGACGGCACATCATGGGTGTATGCCAGAATCTGATTTTCTCTTGCTTGCGACTAACTTTTCTTGCTAAACCCCTCCCTTATTTTGTAGTCATAAGTCACATCTTCCAAATAGCCCGGAGGGCAAAGATTCACTTCCATTCCTTTTCCCAGGCTTTCCTTATAAATCTCCTCCCTTTCTCTGTCATCTGAATTAACTCTAAAAATACCAGACAGTTCTGTATATTTTGTCAAAGCAATAACATCCTATATTAACAGTGTTGACAGGTACTCACCAACACATCTTCCTGATGAGTTTCCCCTAAGTGTTCTATATTTTCCCCTCCAGATTCCATTTTAGGTGGTTCTTTTAGAAGATTAGCACTTCTATCCACCTACCAGATAAAATCTACTTAAGTCTCACCTATGGTTGTGAGATGTTAGGCAAAAGGAGGCCATGTCCTCTTTTTTATCCTCACATCCTCCTTCTGACAGGCATAGTTTTAAAATCAAATACTGTTTGGCTTTTTGAATAACTTTTTTAAAAAATGGTCTGTCTTCACAACAGTAGCCAGTCCAACTGTAGTCTTCCCAATTTTTGTGTATTATGACCTTGTAAATTATCTGCTTCTTTTTTTCCATCTTCTGCTGATAAACTTGATAGTTTAGATTTATGTTATTTAACATAAATTATTTATTTCCTGATTCCACCAATCGGCTTCAGACCAGGCCCTTCAAATCTTTGATCACTGGAGTCTTTTAGAGCACATGATCCGTCAATAGATTTCTATGGTGAAATTTGAAAAGCACCTCATCAGTTCTGTATCACTATCACTGTATCACTATTCTATCACTAATAAATGTTCTTGAAAATAAAGATCTGTTGAAAAAGTGTTTCAGCTGAAACAGCTGTCTTTCTGATGATGTAAAAAAAATAGTTTCATATGAATGTAGGCATAAAAGCACATTTTTGGCAGGTTTTTTACTATACAGTTTTTCACAGATGCCATTTCCACCCCATTGGTCCTCTTTTCATTTTTTTGTGTCTTCCCTTCCCTGCTCAGATACCTGGAAACCCCAGTCTCACTATGCTCTACTTCTAACTGAGGGAGAATTCTGGACCATACATTGGTGGACAGAGTTCACCTATGTCAGGGATCTTAAGCAAATCTGGCTGGCTGAGGAATTCTGGGAGTTGAAGTCCACAAGTCTTAAAGTTGCCAAGTTTGAATACTCCTGACCTATGTCATTCAAAGAATGTCAAGAGTGGCACAGTTTTGTTAGCTCAAGAAAATGAAAGATAAATGAAGAAATCTAGTGACACCACAAGAGTTAATTTCTGAAAAAGTAGAAAGCAATGAGCTCTGAAATTGGGGAAAAGAGAATTTGCAGGCTGGAGATCAAAGTGTTTGTTTGCTTGTATGTTTAACTGTTATGCATATGCAAACATATTCAAACACATTTTTAATACGTTAACTTCATTTTTGAACAGACATTTACTAAACTTAATATGGCAGTAGTTGGAGCCTGCAATTGTAGTTATATATGTTGTAAATAGATAAAGCCACCTCTCTAATAATTTGTACTCCTTCCCCAGTTATATGCCTAGGTAATACTGTATGTTACTTATAAAATCAAAATAGTGCAAGCAGTGGTATTCTCTATGAAATTCTATGGAAGCAAAAGTTGGACTTTGAAGAAGCAGGATAGAAACAGTATTGATGATTTTGAGGATTGGTGTTGAAGAAGACTCCTGAGAATCACGTGAAGTATTAGTACCACTTTATAAATCCTTAGTAAGGCCACACCTGGAATATTGCGTTCAGTTTTGGTCACCACATTGCAAAAAAGATGTTGAGACCTTGGAAAAAGTGCAAAGAAAAGCAGCTAAGATGATTAAGGGCCTGGAGACAAAAACATATGAAGAATGGTTGCAGGAATTGGGTATGGCCAATCTAGAGAAAAGAAGGACTAGGGGTGACGTGATAGCAGTATTCCAGTATTTGAGGGGCTGCCAGAAAGAAGAGGGGCTCAACCTGTTTTCCAAAGCACCAGAAGGCAAGACAAGAAACAATGGATGGAAACTAATCAAGGAGTCTGAAATGTGTGAAATGGTACAGAATCTCCTGCTTGAGCAGGGGTTGGACTAGAAGACCTCCAAGGTTCCTTCCAGCTCTATTCTGATTGATTGATTGGATTGAATACCATGGACAGCCAAGAAAACAAATTATTGGCTCAAATGATCAGGTTCAAATTATCCTTTTTTGAATATAGTATGCAAATACCTAGCTGACTGGAAAAGAGTCTAATATTATGAAAGATGGAAGGAAAGGGATGTATGGACTCAGTTT